CGGCGGTGGAGGCAGTGGAGGGGGTGGCGGCAGTGGAGGCGGTGGGACCAGTGGTAGTCGGTCTGGACCTCAGCGTGGAGGCCCTGGTGGCGGTCGGGGCCAGCAGCAGCAGCGTCGGAGCGAGACTCAGACGCCTCAGCAGCTCCGTGAGTGGTTGGTTCAGCGTGGGGCGGGCGAGGGTAGTGAGACCTGCCCGTATGTCATTCGCACGGGTGCCCGTGCGGGCAAGACATGCGGGCGGTTTCACACTGAGCGCCGCTGCTTTGCCTGCCTTGACGACGCCTGGCGCACTGAGTTTGGTGATGACGTCGAGCGCCCTCGCTGGGCGGAGTTGCTTAGGTCGGGAGTTGCCATCTTTGACCTAGACTTTGATGTTATTATCTCTGCCATGTATGCTTTGTCTTTTAGTGCTGAGGGTGACTGTTACAGGTGTGTGCCGCCTGACCCAGGTATAGCCGCTGCTGCTCTAGGTGCTAGTGCGTCTGGTACTCCCCCTGGTACTGCGCCTGCTGAGGCCCTGCACACCTTCACGTTAGACTCCGGCGCGTCGCGCTGTTTCTTTCGTGACAGCACCACTCTCACTCCTCTTCCTGCACCTGTTCCGGTCAGACTGGCTGATCCCTCTGGGGGCCCGGTCGTTGCCAGTTCCTCCACTGTCCTCCCGTGTCCGGCGGTTCCGTCCGGCTCACTGTCAGGTCTTCACCTCCCCTCGTTCTCTACGAACTTGGTGAGTACCGCTGCTCTTCAGGATGCGATGGTCACTACCACCACTCCTGGGGGTCAGCGTGTGTCGATCTGCATGTGCACGCGGACGAGGCGTCACCTGGCTACGTTCACTCGTCGGCCAGGGTCGAGTCTGTACACACTGGCTACCGAGCCTCCTCAGGTCGCTGCGTCTGCTCAGGTGTCCGCGTCAAGTCAGGTAGCCGCCTCTTGCTCGTGTCGCCTCCTATCGCACCAGACTCTTCTTTGGCACCACCGCCTGGGTCACCCCTCCCTGCCATGCCTTCGTGGCATGCACTCCCGTCTCCTTGTCTCTGGTCTCCCCAGGTCTCTGCCTCCCCTGCTGCCCTCGCCTGCCCCGCCCTGTCTTCCTTGCGTCGAGGGACGGCAGCGCGCCGCTCCTCACTCCTCCTCGTTTCCCCCGACGACTGCTCCCCTGCAGACCCTCCACATGGACGTGTGGGGCCCAGCCCGCGTCAGTGGACAGGGCCGCGAGCGCTACTTTCTGCTGGTAGTTGACGACTACACGCGATACACCACAGTCTTCCCCTTGCGCAGCAAGGGTGAAGTCTCTGCTGTCTTGATCCCTTGGATCCGCACAGTCCATCTCCAGCTGCGTGAGCGTTTCGGCCAGGACCTTCCTGTCCTGCGTCTGCACTCTGACAGAGGTGGTGAGTTCTCCTCCGACCTCTTGCGGGACTTTTGTCGTGGGGAGGGCATCACCCAGTCGTTCACGCTTCCGGACTCCCCTCAGCAAAATGGGATTGCTGAGCGCCGCATTGGCTTAGTCATGGAGGTCGCTCGTACCTCCATGATTCATGCGGCCGCTCCCCATTTTCTGTGGCCGTTTGCGGTCCGGTACGCTGCGCATCAGCTCAACCTTTGGCCCCGTGTCTCCTTGCCGGAGACCTCGCCCACACTGCGTTGGACGGGGAAGGTTGGCGATGCGTCGGTGTTCCGGATCTGGGGTTCTCGTGCCTTTGTTCGCGATACGTCCGCGGACAAGCTCTCCGCCCACGCTTTTTCCTGCGTCTTCCTTGGCTTTGTCCCTGATGCACCTGGCTGGCAGTTTTACCACCCCACCTCGAGCCGTGTCCTCCCTTCTCAGGACGTCACGTTCGACGAGTCGATTCCCTTCTACCGTCTCTTCCCCTACCGCTCTGCCCCTTCCCCGCCCCCGCCGCTCTTCCTTGCTCCCGGTCCGCCTCCGGTAGACCCCCTCCCGCCCCAGGGTCCTGCTCCCTCGGGAGTGTCTCAGGTAGACCCTCTCCCTGGTACTGCGCCTGTTCAGGTGGCTGTCGTCTCAGGTGCTGCTCTAGGTGCTGCGTCTGGGGGTGCTGCGTCTGGGGGTGCGGAGCTGGGGGGTGCGGGATCTGAGGGTGCTGGGTCTGGGGGTGCTGAGCCTGAGGGTGTTGAGCCTGGGAGTGCCGAGTCGGAGGGTGCGGAGCCTGAGGGTGCTGAGTCGGAGGGTGCGGAGTCTGGGGGTGCTGAGCCTCAGGGTGCTGCTTCGTCTGGAGGTCCTGCTGGTGCTTCACCGCGACTGTCCTCGCAGCAGCTGCGTGAGTGGCTTGTTCAGCGAGCACACCGTCGGAGTGGGGCTCCCGGAGCTGGCGAGCCTGGAGACGCTGGAGCTGGAGGTGCTGCTGTTACTACTAGAGCTGGAGACTCTTCGGAGCCTGGAGCAGCTGGCGCCGGAGGCGCTGGAGCTGGTGTCGCTGGAGTTGGAGGCCCTGGCGCAGGAGGTGCTGGAGGTGCAGGAGCTGGAGCTGTTGACCCTGGTGCTGGAGGCACTGTGCGGCCGCGCCCGTACTTCGTTCCCCTGCTTCAGCAGGTTCTTGGTGTCCCGTCCTCTACTGGTCTTCCTCCTCCCTTCCTGTGTCCACCGCCTGACCAGTCGCAGCCGCCGTTACAGCCAGCCTCCCCACTGCCTGTTCCCTCTCCTTACACTGAGCAGTCCGGAGGTCTTACAGAGCGTCGTGAGCCTGCGTCTCGTCCTGTCTCGCCTGTTCGCACTGCTCGTCGTGCTCCTCGTCCGCGTCCTCCTTCTGTCCCAGGCACACACACCATGGCACTCCGTCCTTCCTCTGTTCCACTGCGTGTTCCTCTACCTGCTCCTCCTGAGTCCTCTCCTCCTGTGGTCCCTGACCCTGAGTCTGACCGAGCGCGTGCTGCCAGTCCCACTGTCGCTCGTCTCCTTGCCACTGCTGTCACTGACCCGTCCTTTGAGTCTGCTGCTGCTTCTGCTCTCGTTGCTGAGCTACTTGACTTTGCTGCTGCCTGCCGTCTCGACTACGTCTCTGCTCTAGTTGCTGAGTCTGTGCCTGCTAGTCCTCCGTCCGTCGGGGGTAAGTGTGCTCTTGGCACGGACGTCCTTGAGGACAGGCAGGAGGACTTTGAGTGACTTGCAACTGCTGTACCTCGTTTCGCCTCCTTGCTGCTTGCCCCTGAGGGAGACCCGGATGCTCCTGACATCCCGACCCCGCGCTCTTACGCAGAGGCGATAACGGGTCCTTACTCCTCTCAGTGGCAGGCAGCAATGGATGCCGAGATGGCATCCTGGAAGTCCACAGGCACTTAAGTCGATGAGGTTCCCCCACCTGGGGTGAACATAGTCGATGGCATGTGGATTTTCAGGGTGAAGCGGCCGCCGGGTTCTCCGCCTGCCTTCAAGGCGCGCTACGTTGCTCGAGGTTTCAGTCAGCGACAGGGAGTTGACTACTTCCAGACCTTCTCCCCCACCCCGAAGATGACTACTCTTCGGGTGTTGCTGCACGTAGCTGCTCAGCGTGACTACGAGTTACACTCCCTGGACTTCAGTACTGCTTTCCTGCAGGGCAACCTGCACGAGGAGATCTGGCTGCGCCGACCACCTGGTTTCACTGGGTCTTTTCCTACAGGTACCCAGTGGAGCCTCCGCCGGCCAGTCTACGGTCTCCGCCAGGCGCCTCGCGAGTGGCACGACACACTCAGGACTACACTTGCGGCTCTTGGGTTTGTTCCTTCTACAGCAGACCCGTCGCTGTTTCTACGCACCGACACCTCGCTGCCGCCCTTCTACGTCCTAGTGTACGTCGACGACCTCGTCTTTACCACGGCTGACACTGAGGCACTGACCCTAGTGAAGTCCGAGCTGCAGAAGAGACATACCTGCACTAACCTGGGTGAACTATGCAGCTACCTTGGCCTGCAGATCACCCGGGACAGAGCACGGCGCACCATCACACTGACTCAGTCACACATGGTGCACCAGGTCCTTCAGCGCTTCGGCTTCCAGTACTCCTCGCCACAGCTCACTCCTCTGTCTACCAGCCACTCGCTCTCAGCTCCACCTTCGGACGAGTCCGTAGAGCCGAGTGGTCCGTACCCAGAGCTTGTGGGTTGCCTCATGTACCTGATGACTTGCACACGACCTGACCTCGCGTACCCTCTCAGCCTTCTGGCTCGCTACGTGGCTCCCGGTAGGCACCGAAAGGTGCACTGGGATGCTGCGAAGAGGGTACTGCGTTACCTGTGCAGTACGTCGGGCATGGGGCTTGTGCTTGGAGCACGGGGTCCTGTTGTCCTCACTGGTCACGCAGACGCCTCCTGGGTTGACGACTCAGCTACGCAGCGGTCGTCGCAGGGTTACACCTTCAGCCTTGGGTCCGGCTCGGTTTCATGGCGGTCTACCCGCTCGTCTTCAGTTCTCAGCTCCAGCTGTGAGGCTGAGATCTACGCCGGAGCTATGGCTGCTCAGGAGCTACGCTGGCTCACCTACTTGCTGACCGACTTGGGAGAGCAGCCTCGTTCGCCTCCAGTCCTGTACGTAGACAACAAGGCCATGATAGCCTTGTGTCAGGAGCACAGACTGGAGCACAGAACGAAGCACATCGCTCTGCGATACTTCCTTGCTCGAGAGTTGCAGCAGCGTGGTCAGCTTCGTCTATCGTACGTGGCCACTCGGGCCAACACTACTGATGTCTTCACCAAGGCACTTCCGCCTGGTGACCATCAGCGCTTTGTTACTGTGTTAGGCCTTGTGCCTACTTTGCCTCACTTACTTACTGCCTGACTCTGCCTGTACTGTGATCTATCTATATACCTGCATGCTTGCACTTGTTAGGGTATGATCACTGTATTGTTTGTTCTCTGTATATAACTCTGCATGTGAACTGGCCTTGTGGCCCTTTGCTTGTGCTCGGACTGTGTGGTGACTTTGTGATCCACCCTGAGCTTGCTTTGCTTTTCTTGACTGGTCTTGTGATCATTACTTGTTCTGGCTATCCCCCACTTCGCCT